TGACTGACCATATTAAATGACGCGTTCTTCGCGCGTACTTTTTCTATTTATCTCAGTCACCAATAAATTTGCGAAACGCTCGTATAAGTTGATGGGACCAACAAACTGGTCCGTATCTCGCACAGTTCAGAAATAAACAGATTTATATATTTTTTATATCCCGCTGTCTTGGCTTGAGATTTGAAAAGGTGAAGCGCATACTGAGGCGCGCTGAGCCGCGCATTAGCCTATTCAGTAGGGTTTACATAGCCACTGAGTTCGACCCAAACTAGTCAGTTAGTCACTAGACAGAAATCTCACTTTAAGAGGGGCTGAGAAGACGGAGCAACTGATGAGCGTAGAGTTGAAGAGGAATTGAGAGATAATGCAACTTTGGTGTAGCCTACCTGAGATGTGGAACTTAGGAGATAGCTTCCCGTAGACTTTACTCGACCCCGGGTTGTGATATAGGCATCCGGACAGAAAAAAGTATCCCTGACGCACGCTTCAAGATAGGCTGCACCACAAGCTGTTATGAGCAACACAGTCGAAGGTAGCTTTCAAATCAGGGAGAATCACCACAGTAATTCGTCTGTGCGTGTATCGCTGCTCCAATAATTAAGGAAGAGTAAATATGTGACAAATGCAGTCTCAGCAAGGAGGAAAGTCAACCTAGCTCTCATGAGGAGCAATGCCATCGCAGAAGGATATCAATGAGGAAGTTGGAAGAAAAGGAAGAACCATGCCTCCGCGAATTCCACGAAAGAACCTTGGCTACTTTAATCGATGAGGAAAGCGGTTAACAACGACAAGTATGAAGGAAACTCTGTGATGACCCAAAGCATTGAATGAATGGACAGATCACTCACAAATGAGTTAACTCCATCAATCACACGCCCAATTGTTAACTTCAGTAGGGTTTGCATCTTATTAACCGAAAAATGCCTGCAGTGTAAGGTGCGGTGGCAAACCCTCACAGAAAACTCGTGGCGTCAGTCGAGCTGAACCAGTCAAGCAACAACAGTACATCAGCCATTTAAACTGATGCTTCGCTGCCATTCAACCATGATAAACAACAGAATAAAGAATAATAAGAAGGAGAGAAGGGGGAATTACCTGAAAACTTTAGTGCCTTAAGCAAACATTCACGGTCAAGACGCATACACCTTGTGTAGACAACATACCGTCACAAACAGCTGGCCATTGTGCGAATATAAGGCGACACCAACGAGACAGCTTTCTTGCGGCTTACACTGCCCCGCATCATAATCAGCCATTACCCCGCAGATAACTAGGGATCAAACACTCTAAACAGGAAATCCGACTAGGAGACGGTAGCAGACGCGCTAATGGTGTCGGTTCCGAGCCATGCCCTGTAAAGTCTCGAGCCAAACACAAGGCGAGTCACGTGGACTCCAGCCCGGAAAGCGAGACGGACCAACGGCACCCAGTTTGGTCGTCAGTGACTTCATTTCCCGTTGCCAAGTCAACTTCTGTCTACCTCGAGCCTAGCGCCACCCTACACCTGGCAGACTAAACAACGCCCTCCTAGGTATGCGGTGACCAGGCATACGTAGCACGTGCCCGAGACAACGCAACTTATTCAGTGCTATCTGTTGTTCTAGGGAAATAGCATGTTTATCACTACCTAATACTCGTCTACGCACATCCTCGTTGCGGACACGCTGGTGCCATCCGACACTAGCAATGCTTCGCAGACAACGATGCTCAAAGACTTGAAGGTGCCTCTGTGTTCAGACCGAAGGGGGTAAGTCTCACTCCCATAGAGCAGAACGGCCCCCACTGTGGCCTTGTATACACGGCCTTTCAGATGGAGGGAAACTCCATTCTGTCGCCAAAGATGGAGCAGGTACAAGAAGGCAGCGCTGGCCTTTACAACGCGTGAGCTTACGTCAGTTTCTATGCGCCCATCATTGCTGATGCCGCCGTCAAGATAAGTGCGTTGATCAACCAACACGAGTTCCTCGATAGCAAGCGTCAAGGGGTCATCAAGTGACTGGTGGTCCCGCAGCAACACTTTGCAGTTTGAAGGTGCGAAGTGTATACCAAATAATGGGACCACTCTGGACAGGCAATTCAGGGTTGTTTGTGCTGCCGCAACATCGTCGAAAAGCAACACGATATCGTCCGCATAATCAAGAGCAACTAATCTTTCACCAGGCAGCACCTCAACGCCTACATCGTGATATTCCACAAGGAAACACACCATGATAGAATCCATGACGAAATGGAACAAAAGTGGGGAAATCGGACAACCCTGACGAACGCCACTTGTGGTCGGAAAGCTATCCGATAGGACACCGTAGACCGTGACGCGGCCTGTAGTGTTCGAGTATAGAGCACGTAGGATGTTCACATATTTCGTTGGAACACCTTTCCGCGCAAGTAATTCGAACAAAATCGATCGATCGACTGAGTGGAACGTACTCTTGAAATCAAGGAACATAGCTATTGTCGGTCTGCGGTATGCGTGGCGCTGCTCTAGCAGCTGCCGCAAAGTGAATAAATGGTCTATACAGCCACCCCGGGCGGAAACCTGCCAACACTTCCATAATCCGAGATTCCCATTCCAGAGTGAGGCGACAAACGAGAATCGATGACAGTAATTTTGTCACAACTGGCGTTATGCTAATATCCCTGTAGTTAGAACAGTCTGTGCGACTGCCCTTCTTGTATATTGTCACTATGATCGATTCGTTCCAATCAGCCGGGACACTTCCTTCCAGAAATATTCCAATAAGATCAGTGCTTTGCAGAGGACCTCACCTCCATCCTTAAATAGTGCAGGTGGGAGGGAATCGGGGACAGCGGCACGAAAATGAATGAGGGCTGTGATCGCGTTTCGGATCTCGGCCTCCGACGGAGGCTCTATACTAACCGTCCATGGTCTACACAGCCCCACCATTGGCGAAAACCTGCCTGCTCTTCCCTAATCCCAGATTACCGTTCTGCAGTGAGGCGACAAACGAGAATCGATGACAGTAATTTTGTCACAACTGGCGTTAGGCTAGTACCCTTAGGGTTAGCACAGTCGGCGCGGCTACCCTTCTCGTATATTGCCAATATAATCGATTCACACCAGTTAGCCAGGAGGGTCTCTTCCTTCCATACATCTTCGAACAGCGAGGTCAGTGCTTTGCAAAGGACCTCACCACCATCCTGAAATAGTGCGTGTGCGAGCGAATTCGGGCTAGCAGCAGGAAAATGAGTAAGGGCCGCGATCGCGTTTCGGACCTCAGCCTCCGATGGAGTCTCTAAACTAACCGTCTATTGCTCAGCCTGCAACACCTGAGTGAGAAGAGGTCCATAAACAGGGGGAAAACTGAGCTGATCTTGAAGGTGCTCAGCCCACGAGCCATACGGCGCTCCTTATTGTGTATCAGTGCATCCGCGTTGTCTCTGATTGTCTCTCTGACGCCTGGTTTTCTGGAATCAGTGATGCGGATAAGCTGGAAGAGCTTGCGATAATTGCCTACTGCTCCTGCCTCCTCCATTTATTGAGCTCTACTGGTCCACCAGGCTTCCTTGTCAGAACGCAGGATCCCCTTTAGTTCGCGCCTAATAGTCCGTCGGGTCACATTGTGCTCAGAGCCAACCGGGAGTTTTCTTCTGGATTCCAACAGGTTCACCGACCTCCCTGATATCCCATGACTGAGGCGGTGACGATTGATAGTGCCACAAGCAGATGTTCATGCGTCGTGCATCGCGGTCGAGAGCCTATTCCATTGAAGCTGTGTCATCAGGATAAGACAGCGGAAGTTCTATATGCAGTGCATCCTAATACGCTTGGCTGTCCGAGGGTTGAGATAACTTCTCAGTTAGAAATCGAGGGAGGCACTTGGTACGCATCCCAGTAAATGTCATAGAAAAGCGACATGGTACAAAGGCATGATCAGAGTCAGCGCAAGTACTCCAGAGAGAGCGACAAGCTAGGATGGAACCACGCCACCTGTAACTTAGGGCAATGTGATCAATCTGAGTGCATCGCTGGCCAGCTACAGGAGGACGCCAAGTGGCACTTCGATGCCCACTGTGCCTAAAAGCAATGCTACTAAGAAACAACTGGTGCTCCGCACACATCTGCAACAGACGCTCGCCAGTTCGGAGTAAAGCCCATAATTACCACCCAGCTGAGCTTCTGAAGAGCTCAGACGCCCTACTTGTGCGTGCATATCCCCTGCAAGTTCCATACTATCTGAACTAGTAGCACTGCGTAGTAGCGTCTTTAATCCGTGATAGACTGTCCTTCACAGCATCAGAATTGCAGTCGGAGGGAGCATAAGCGGAAATCACAAGCAAACAGCATTTTGTACTACTTCGTGAATAAACCTTAGTTCATGTCGTCAAACGGGCTGCTCACTTGAATCCAATAAACTAAGGATGGCTCAGGCTTGGAGCTGAAAATGATACCTACCTCATCTTGACGCGTGAGTGCTGCATTAGCATCTCCGGATGTGTGCAAAAAATAGAGAGAGGACAAGCAGGGCGCAGTTAGTTCAACAGCCCCTCTGACTTCTCGCGCTCATCAATATTACACAATAGCCGAAAGTGAGAGACACTGTAGCTAACTGTGCCAACTGCTCCTATGAGGGACATATCGAGATAGTTTGTGTAAACGCTAGAGAGTTGTCTCGTACGAACAGCTTTGAAGACATGTGGAATGTGCTACCACGCGTAAGCCAGTCGATCATTGAGGAACTCAAACCACCACAATGTGTTAAGGATTCACGGGGACGGAAAAGAACTGCCGGGGTAAGAACGAAAAGAAACAACTCGGAACCAGATTGAGTGCAAAATGACACAGCTTTTAGATGGGGTTTGACGAGACAACCACAAAGGTGTTGATATGTTAACGCAGTGGATCGTGGAATGTACGTAAGAGAATAACGGGAAAATACAATCCGCAGGTTAATGAAATCGAAACAAATTCTACCTAGAACAAACATCGACAGAGTCAGCGTACAATGCCTACAGCAATGATGGATGAATCCTTAACTCACTCAGTTATTGAATCTGAGGGTTTCCTATTGCTGATTGTAGTCAGGGGAGAATTCAAGAGGGGTTGAATGTCCAAAGAACCTGAAAACGTAAGAGCGTATCTCAATGAATGATGATATTACAAAACAAAGTTCCCATACAATGTAAATAATGTACCGAAGTGCGACGACAATAACAACAATTCCCTCGAGACAGCTTAGAGTACGCTGAGGTGTGTTGCTTAACAGAGAACCTGCAAATGCCTGACACGTAGTTCAGCATGGTCGCTATGATCCTCGCACAGAAGCGCGGTGGATTACGTTGCCCAGACGCATCGCCAAAATAGTGAAAACGAAATGAACCAAAAAGGATGGTAATCATAATCGTTAGGACGGAAAAGACTGTCATTTTTCATTTTCTTGTGAATTTGATGATTCCGGTGTGGACAATTTAAATCAAGACACGCCTTCAAGTGTTTCGAGCTAGTGATGAGCTCCATCCTTAGAGTCCAAGCTTAGAACGCGCACGCGGCCGACGATAACTAAACTGGGAGTGCTTTGATATTTGGTCGCCATGCAGTAAGCTGGCCCAGCGCGATTCATTCTAGTGCAGTCCTGTGCGGATGAATAAAGCGAGCCGTAGTAATCGCTCACATGGCATACATTGCATGTGACCAAGCCATCTCACTTGGCGAAGCGGTACTAACTTGCCGAAAGGGAGAGCCGAATTACTTAAGATGCGACGTCCAACCTCGTCACTGTAAACGCAGTGTTCCCAGACGCATGAGCTATCCTCTGCAAACCTGTTATCGAAGGCTGAAAGCCGATGCATTTCATTCACAGAAATCAACCAGGAGTTAACTCCGTACAGCCGCACGGCGCGAACATGGGCATTGTAGACACTGGGTGAAACGTCTCGACGACGCTATAGGTGTCCCAGATCCGCGAACGCTGATCGCGCGATGACAAGGTGAAGATAAAACTCCCAATGGTGTCATCACCAGGTACACAAAGCTGTCCACTTGTTCAGGCTCCGTATCTACAAGAGTGAACAGTGGAGCATGGGGATGCCAACCGTGAAGGACTTTGCGTTTCTAATGGGTGAAAGACATGTCATACTCAGTTGTTCTAATCGCCAAGCAGTTCAGAATGAGTTGTATACCCTAAGAGTTGTCCCAAGGTCAGGCGATTTCATCAAGATTGTCTAAATCAGTCGCGTGATTACCGGGAAGATCTGCATCGTCACCTTGTAGGCCTCCCAGAGTGCTCTACAGGATAACCTCTATGACAAAGCTGAGAAGAAGCAGGAGCATAAGGTACCTCTGTTGACAGCGAAAGGTGAAGAAAACTTGCAGTAGACCCCGAATCTGCCCGAGACATTGTAGTGCGAGAAAAATGGATATATACTTATTTTACGAACAATGCCGTAACAACGAGACTAGACCTTAACGTGGGGTGACGATTTGCGTAGCTTCACGACCCACTGATCTATACTGAGTGGGGTACTTGCGCCTCTTAAAAGCAACTCCTACCAGGTTGGTCAACGGTCAGATGAACTCAGTCTCCTGTTCCTCCAGGTCGGGGAGTTTGGAATAAGATGGCATCCATTGCTGTAAAACCGAATCGTTGCCACATCCGCTGACTTGCGGTGAGGCTTTTGAGGACGTCAATTGTCCTGCTGCCGGGGTCTGGACGCCCTGGCAGTATCTCAGCTTACGTACAACCATGACTACTTTAAACTTTAAGCATATCCCGCATCGGCAGTCGCACAGATTAACAACGGTCGTCTTATCTGCTGCACACAGCATGGCGGATAAGCGAAAACATGCAACTGCAGGCGCCTCACTTCTTTCGTTTCCAACTGCCTCTCTTAGTCCCTTCCCAGCCCGCATTACTAGCCTTCATTCTATAATTTAGTTTAACTGACAGCAACAGCAATGTTACTGGAGTCATATCATCTGCAGCTATGTTCCCGCACCACCCACTGGACACGAATCGCGGAAAACTCCTTATAAGGCCACACTGTCTCGTTTCCTTGGTGGCGTTCAAAGTTCGCACTCTAAGACAAATTGGTCAACAGGCTGCACTCGCACGCCCGTTAGACACGCTGTGTATTGACTTTGTTGTATGTCCTAAACCAGAATCAATGACCATAACGGGGTTGTCAAAGTAGCTGCGCGCAGTTTGTCCCCTCGCTATTGGTTGCACACATCCGGAGACACTGATGCGGCAACCACGGGTCAAGCTGGAGTGCGCATTGTTCGCAGCTCCAAGCCAGAGCCATCCTTGGTTGATTGGATTCCCCTGAGCAGCCATTTGACGACAAGGAGTAGCACAAGACGATGTTTGTTTGTGGTTTCCGCTTATGCCCCTACCGACTGCAACTCTGATGCTGCAATGCATGTTACTACCAAGAAGGGAACACACTACTGAGCAGGGTTACTAGTGCTGATATAACAGCAGGTCGTCAGAGCACTTCGGAAGCTCAGCTGGGTAGTAAGTATGGACTTAACTCCGGCCGTACGGACGACAGTGAGCGTCTATTACAGCTGTGTGTGGAGCACTAGTTGTTTCTTAGTAGCACTGCTTTTAGACACAGTGAGCGTCGAAGTGCCACTTGGCGTCCTCCTGTAGCTGGCCAGCGATGGACTCAGATTGATCACATTGCCCTAAGTTACAGGTGGCGTGGTTCCATCTTATATGGTCGCTGCTTGATTACAAGAGCCGTTCACAATGAGGTTTCTCATTCCATAGATACCGATTTTCGGCTAGACGCGGTTGGCCAACTGTCATATTCAGCGATAATGGACAAAATTTGCGAGAAGCTGAATTATGTGGCCTCCTGAGAAATTTAGATCAGGAGAAGATAACGAAATCCATGCTGTCACGGGAGATTGATTGGAAGTTTAACCCTCCTTGTGCTAGCCATCGTGGAGGTCTTTGGGAACGAATGATTCGATCGACATGCGAATTGTTGCGTAACATTCTCAACGGCGAAATCGTAACAGAAGTACTAATGACGGCACATGCTGAAGTCGAAAGAATATTGAATGACAGGCCTCTAGCAGGGGAACCTGCCGCATCTGATCCCCATGATACCACATCCCCGAGACAACTGTTGATATTGGCGAACGATCAGTCTCTCGAAAACTCGACGATCAAGTTACCGATGAAACTGAGTAGAAGATGGAGGCAGGTAAGACATCTTACCGATAGTTTTGGCGTAGATAGATTAGTGTGTACTTACCGAAACTACAGCAGAGACAGAAATGATTAATTAAAGTTGGAGAGCTCAGGTAGGATAATCTTGTTCTATCTTGTGAGGCCTATGGCTGAAGGCAGTCGTGGAAGAAATCATGCAAGGTAAAGACCAACTGGTTCGACAGGCGTTGGTGAGGACAAGCAAAGGTATCCTGCGAAGGGACGTCAAACAACTTTGTTTATTAGAAGCATACGAAGAAGAGGATGACGAGGCTTTGTAAGCCAGTGAAGAGGAGAGGGGGGTGTTAAGTCCAAAGAGAGCTTTGAATAGTCAGCCAAACTGGGTTACCTATTGAGGACATGATATCCGCTTTTCCCAAATCCCTCATTTCTTTCCTTACAGAAATTTATACATGTTACCTTCTAACACTTGCATTATGAGACACCTTACGTCTTCACTTCGCAGTATTGGCACATAATTGACGCCTCAAAGTCAAACATTTCATCCTTGACAGTCCGCCGATTAGCAAACTGCTACGCTGTACCGTTTTGTCACGCTGCCGCATGTCTTTCTGGTTCGCTCCTTTCCTATTATGATTGCAAACCTATGCGTAAGTTTATTACAGTATTAAATTTGTAGTATAGAACCACGGTAGCAGGTATGTACGTTTTAATTGCCCTGCCCAGACCGTGCGCATAGTATAGGTTTATCAGCTTATAGTTTCCTTGCTCTATCTCGTGTGATTGGATAGTGTAAGCTTCGCATAGTCGACAATCATCATCGTCATCATCATCAGTACATCAACTACTTGAACTGATGTTTCGCTGCATTTTATCCCCGACGAGCTAAGGAACAAACGATAATAATAGGGAGAGAATGGGGACTTACCGGAAAACCTTAATGCCCTAAGCAAACATTCATGGTTAAGCCGCATACACATTGTCAACACCATACCATCACAAACAGCTGGCTATCATGAAAAGATAAGACGGCATTTGCGAGAGAGGTTTCTTGTGGCTTTCCCTGCCCCGCGTCATAATCAGCCAATACCCCGGAGATAACAGCTCCAAACACACTTTAAACAGGCCGTCAGATAACGAGAAGACAACAGACACACCAATGGAGCCGACTGCGAGTCATGTACTGTCAAGTCTCGAGCCAAGCACAAGGTGAGTCTCGTAGACTGTAGCCTGGAAGACGAGACGGACCGACGGTACACAGTTTGGTAGTCAGTGACTTTATTTCCCGCTGCCAAGTCAACTTCTGTCCACCTCGTCTTGCGCCACTCTACATTTGGTAGGCTAAACAAGGCCCTTTTCGGTAAACGGTGATCAGGCATACGTAGTACGTGCACAAGCCAACGCAACTTATTCTGTGCTATCTGTTGTTCTAAGGAACTAGCTTATCACTGCCTAGCAGATCATCGCTGCGGACACGCTAGTGCCATCCGAAACCAGCAAAGCTCTACAGACAGCGATGTCTAAATACTTGAAGGCATTTCAGATCTTCATGCCAAAGGGGCCAAGTAGGACAGCCCTCACTGTGGCCTTGTAAACACGGACTTGCAAACCGCCACTCAAAAAGGCACTTCTGGCTTTTGCAATAAGTGAACCGATTTCAGTTGCTATGCGCCCATCGTTGCTGATGCAGCGGCGAAAGGGTCGTCAAACAGTTGATGGTCCTTTGCACCTTGATCTGCGAGGCGCATATCAAATAAAGGAACTATCCTACACAGGTAATTCAGAGTTGATTGCGCCGCCCCAACATCGTTAAAAAGCAAGACATTCGTCCGAATAATTAAGATCAACTAGCCTTCCACCATGCAGCACCTCAACGCCTACATCGTGAGAATCCGCCAAGGAACACTCCATGATGGAGTAAGAGGCGAAACTGAGCAAAAATGAAGAAAGTGTACAACCCTCACGAACGCCACTTGCTGTCGGAAAGACATCCGAAAAAGCATGGTGGACTCTGACGAGGAATGTAGTGTTCGATTAAAGAGCACGCAAAATGTTCACATATTTAATGGAAACACCATTCCACGCAAGTATTTTGAACAAAATGCATCAACCGACTGAATCGAACGCACTCTTGAAATCGAGGAACACAGCTGTTGTCAGTCTGCGATGTGCATGGCGCCGCACTAGCAATTGCCTCAGCGTGCATATATGGTATACACAGCCCCACCATTGGCGAAAACCTGCCTGCTCTTCCCTAATCCCAGATTACCGTTCTGCAGTGAGGCGACAAACGAGAATCGATGACAGTAATTTTGTCACAACTGGCGTTAGGCTAGTACCCTTAGGGTTAGCACAGTCGGCGCGGCTACCCTTCTCGTATATTGCCAATATAATCGATTCACACCAGTTAGCCAGGAGGGTCTCTTCCTTCCATACATCTTCGAACAGCGAGGTCAGTGCTTTGCAAAGGACCTCACCACCATCCTGAAATAGTGCGTGTGCGAGCGAATTCGGGCTAGCAGCAGGAAAATGAGTAAGGGCCGCGATCGCGTTTCGGACCTCAGCCTCCGATGGAGTCTCTAAACTAATCGTCCATGGTTCGTTCTGCGTCACCTGATTAGGAAGAGGACCGGGAGTAAGGGGGCCAACTGTACCGCTCTCTGCGCAAGTATGAGTTGCGAAAACACATTGAGGCGTGTAGTGTCACGTTTAAATCTAACCAAGCACTGTCACAGCAGCCGCATCCGACCCTAAAAGAATCAAGCCGATTACCAACAGAAAGGTCCCATCAGGAATGGGAAACCGTAGAAGATAACAACGGCCATTTTGATCACAGTCGAAAGCTGTCAGCGGTACGCGCGAACCAAGCACTGACGTTCAGCCGTAGCGAAACAACTTGGGGTTGTCGTTGGGATATACTGCGAATTCGCTCAGCTATCTAGGTCCGGGCCGTTGATTTGTGGATTACGAACCAAACCCCTGGACTACTTAGTCACCCAGTGAGGGACTCATAGGACGATTTCTAGTAAACCAGTAAACGTCTTCAGGAGCCTTCGAACAGAAGATAGATAGGTTGGGATATCTGAAAGCTTGATGTTAGGCACTTGATAGAAAGAAACATTGCGATCAATGCACTCTTGCGCGGGCAGAACCCAGTTAGATACCCGCTGAACCGATTTTCCCGAAGATCACTGAGATGCTGTGGCATGACTGAGGTGAGTAGTTTGAGTTTATTGCTCTGAACATATCTTGGCAGCGCAAAGCGCTTGATCATCTACCGTCGGCCGAAAGGATTGTGCGCTTCTGTTGTAATCCTGAGGTCGTCGGTTCGAATTCGCGGTGCGGGTGACGTCGTAGGACTGGTGGTGATCACGGGTAGCGAAGCGTCGTTACGATGTGCCGGCGTACTGATGATGCCTTTTTTGGCCATCTACCGAGATCATATGACAGTTAGCTTACCTAGTATTGGCACATGTTTGCGATTGCTAAGAATGTACGAAGGAATATCGTCTAACAAATTACGTCTTCCGACTTGTTAACATATGCAGCGGAGGGTTCGGAAAACGACTTGAGGATCCATACTCGGGAGCCTACCTAGATTAAAACCCTCAGCCAGAAAGTGCAAGTGGATCTGGAGAAAAGACTAGATTCAAAAGAATTCGCAGATCTCTACCCTACGACAAAGTCTCGGTGTGAACGGTGCACAACTTCAACGCACATAAGATCAATAGAACACTTGTAATGGACGTACAATGGAGGAGAGCTAAGGGGTAAGTCATTAAAAATGCCCATCGGGTAGTTAGAGAAGAAACACAAAATGACGCTCCTCGCTAGCAAATTAACGGATGTCAGAATACGCACAATTCGGTTGGTAGAAAAGTTTCCCATTGAGTAATAAACAGTAGGAACGAAAGCTGTCAATCAAATGCTAAGTTAACTTACATTCTGGTTAGATTAGTGATACGAAAAAGATAAAAGTGAGATCAAAAGAACCAACTTAAAGAGGACGAGGCAATGATTAATAATTAGAGACTTACGACACGGCCGGCTGGTAGAGTCACCTAACTCTTCTGTCATTTGGGACCGAGCCCGAGAACTATGGGAAGAGCAGCTGGGTGATAAAAGGTCGCGGCACGGAGTTGCGTCTATCGAGTTGGAATCAAGGTGCGATGTAGCAATCAAGATCGACTTAGAAGGTTCATTGCATTCGGCAGTAGATCGGCAGGATTTTATATGCGAGCGATGGGACAAAGGATCCACAGACGAGTTGGACTGATGAAAGTTCAAGTTCTCGTTAGGGGGCAATGTGCAGTAATCGACTGAACCATCAGAACAATTACTAACACTGTTGGCGTGCTTGGGGGCCGAGGGAATAGGCAGGCTCGTGAGAGAAGATGAAGGCAGCTGTGGGTTCAAGATGGATTAGTCTTGTAAATGTCAGATTTGATGACTAAAAGGAAAACTTCGCTTAGGCAAGGTTCAGCTCAATTGCGTGGCCGGAATCAATGACGTGACAGTTAAGCTTAAGATCATTAGAGCGGAAAGCAAACCTAAATCTGTTTGATTTACAGCGGTGAAGTGGCGCACATCCTACGTGGGCATGTGGTGCATACTATGATAATCGGTGAGTGGAATACCAACTGTGTGGGTGTTAGTCAAAGAAGCAATGATAATACTGATTTATTATTTGACAGTGTGCAGAACAGATACCAGAGGCTAAGTTTTGAAAAACGCAAATCCATGCAGTACAGACAGAAAACCTGAAAAAGTTACAGGTTAAAATAACGTGTAGTTAAGCACCTTGTTATGGAGATTCATATTTTCCCGAGGGACATAATAGCCAGGTGGTAATTGGCGTTTATCTGCATTCGAGAGGGCACAAAGCTCTCTTTCAGAGCCTTGTCTTGGAGATGGCAATCGGCGATCATCCATGGGCTTTTTGGGTGCCGTGATGTGCTGGGTGACAAAAGAACAGGGATCGTCGAAGCGAGCAGAGTCCGGGAATGTGGACCGACATTCTCCTCGACGTGACTTCATTGTCGGGGATCCAGAAACAGTGACTGGTGACTGATCAAGAAGACTGCCAATAGACGCTCGGATGGCATCCACTAGCTGACGTAACGTCCCAGAGGGTTGACCAGAGAAACCTGAGTAGTAAAGACCAAGAAGCATGCAGTAACAAGGCCGAGCGTACGCAACTTTATTGTGTAGCAAGACTGATAACTGTTCAGCAATACCGGTTCTGTATGGACGGATAGTGGTTAACAAGAAAACTGGATACTGGTCAAGAAGTGGTACAACAACACTGTGTGGAAAATGAGATGGATATTGGGTGTTGCGCGCCAGAAAACGATGTACTCTAGGAGCAATTACGAATTCATTGGGATGTTAGTGGAAACCTCCATTCCCAGTGATCAAAGTAACCAGGTTTCACTTCGATGCGAATCGCGGTCCATAATGAGATTGTGCGTCGCAATCTATTTATATGAGTGCTTCAGAATGATCCATCTAATCAGCATGAGGATGTTGGTTTAACCGGTAGCATAGAAAAACCGTCGGTCGCCGCAAAGAGAACTGAAGGGAGTGCACACATCAACTCAGTTATATGCGTCTGATCAGGACCACGAAATGAGGCGAATCCAGTTATCACTATGCACGTCGCTTGGAAAGCAATAAACAACAGTAGTGAAAAGTGAAGTAGAAAGTAAAACGCAAAGAAAATGGAGCTAAGAAAGAAGCAAAATGTATCGGGATGGAACATCGACAACTAAATACAAGAACCTAGATGCAGGAGTGCCAATGGATGTGCAATGACACATCTGGTGTGGCTCGTCCTAAGGGTTCCATCTATGAAGAAGGTATGCATCAGCCTGGCCAGTCTTTCAGTCGACTTCCTCAACTCTTTGTGCAGTGTCACCGGCTGGCCACTCCACTCCACTAAGTGGAAGGATGGAATAAAATGCATACCGAAGAAGGCGATCAACGGGCATAGGAGGACATGATTCAGATAGCGTAAGCGATTCGACGTGAACACACTTCAGTGAGACAGCAGAGGATTACTTTTCAAACTTTAATCGACGGACCTCAACAATGCTCACTTGGCGATCCCACCAGGTGTGATCCATAATTCGCAGGCAAGGTGATCAGACAGTTAATCCCTCAATATCATCCGGTGCAAAGTGGCTATGTTTCCTATCATTAGATTAAGTTGGTTGCATCGCAGCATATAACGTCATACCAATGGCTGAACCAGGCCTCGTTGTCATTATAGAGGATTTGGATTTTGGAAAGCTACACGGACTTGGTCAAAAGGCACAGCAACAGTCTTAGTACATTGTTCAACAGAGGTGTTACGAGTACCGGGGCAAGGGAAGAAAATGTAGTTAAGTATTATGGGCAGAAAGATGGAGCGGATGTACCTCTTCCCAGAACAGAAGCTAGTGGTATACGATATAATCGGTTCAGACAAGAATGCTAGAGTAACAGATTTCATAGATATCGGACGGAGACAGACGAACTGGCCTTTCCAGTTCCAAACGTTTGAAAAAGTGACAGTTCGAGTACGCAAAAAGCGCCACAACAGTTAAATGAAAATCTGACTCTGTTGAGAGGAACGTCTTCTAAGGAATGGATTGGTGAATCCTAAATGCACCCAATTCCAACCCCTTTTGATAAGTCCAGCAAAACAATCGCATTGGTAGATCAAAAGAATGCTCGCACGCAATTTAATAGTATTGCCGGTGAGTGAATAGAGAACAGAGGACATTCAAGGTTATCAAGAACGCATAAATAACGGTAGCCTGCGCCATGGCATTGTCTCGCGATTGCGGCCATTAAATCGGTATCCGAACCGTTGCCTTCTTGATCAGATAACCATAGCGGACAGGTTTTGAACAGCCAATCAGAGCAGCTCGGCGCGACCTTGGTGACTAATAACTTGGCGATGGAGAATTTTTGGTTGGAGAACACATTTTCAGTGGAGTGCACCGCAATACTTCAACATCAACAGAAGTAATTTGAAGGGAGTCAGACACAACTGATGGAGAACACCTTCCAGCGGCTTGTAGTACAAGACCAAGTATAGAGGAGCAACAGTCGTTTGTTCATGCAGCCGCTAAGAGCATTTGTGAGTTGCAATATGACCCTCACCTCCGAATCTTGGTTCAGAAGATACGAAAACGTCTTTCGGGCCGGAGTTGGTGATGCTGACGACGGATGGGAGTGTAGTGTTTTGGTGGAAGCTAGGAACCAAGGAGCACCATAAGTTTTGCCAAAATGCCCTAAAGATGCTACCTTCGAGCAGCTTGTGGCTTCGTTAAATGATATGTTGGATGAAGTTTTCCTTATTCAGCGTCCGATACAGCTGCAGACAGTTTCGTAATCTCCGCCCATACTGTTGATCGTCGTTGCGAACGTTTCAAGCTGAAAGAAATGACGAACGATCAGCTCAGGGTCCTCATTGTTCGTCGAGGTCTCCAAGCACCCTAACATATCGAAATTCGCTCAAGAAAATCGGACAGGAGCCGTTCATCGACCCCATGTCCATCAACTGTGAATGCCAGTCAATCAAGTTGAAGCATGATGCGAATCTAATTGCCCAAGACCGCAATTCATGCCCCGTAGATTTGTTGGCGGTCACAAACCAGCGCGGAAGTAAAGCAAAGGTCCTAAACTCAGTGAAGCCAAACAGAGCACTATGTGCGTGCTGGTAATGTTGGGAATGGTACTTCGTCAAATTCCGTCCGTTCGAGAAGCATCTTTATCATAAATGAAACAAACGGGGTCATATGGAGTATCATTGTTGTGCAGCTGCTTTCAACAATAATGTCTCCCTCAAATATCCCAGAGCTTGTACCCACATCGCTAACGACGAGTGGTCTGCACGCCTAGCTTGCAATCATAAGGTCACCGGTTCGAATCTGCGTAGGGGCGGGCGTCCTCGCGGTATACTCAGCCCACGCGCGACTAGTGGTGGCCGCGCGGCAGTGAAGCACCGTTATGGTGTACAGCTGAAACATTGTATTGTACATCGCTAACAACTGGTTCGCCACCCTTGATGCAAGGGCTGCAAAGCGCAGAACGTTCGCTACGGTAAATGTGAACGAAGTGCCCATGCGCCTTCAGATATCACGGTCATATTCGAGAAGAACTAGTAGATAATTGGTAAACCACCTGTTCAAAGAACAACTCGGATTGCAATCAGTGTTTCCGAAGGGCCGCTGAACTTCACTGATGGAATTTACTGACTTGTAATGTTCACACTACCAGTTAGAAGGAGCATGCTACGTAACAAGACGTCTAGACCTGAAGTTACTCGGTCTCGATTGCACTGACAATACAAAACTGCATGGTGCGCCCCTGAGTTCCGTTGGTAACAAAGTAAACGATGCAGCTGTAAATTAGACGGAGACTATACTGAGGAAATATCCGCAGGTTTCAGGATGGTCTGGGATTGTGCAAGAAAACCAAGGCCAGTGTATCCCAACAGTCAGACGCGAAGTCAGTCTTCCGACCATAACGGCCAGTTCCATATACACTCGCTTCAATCGTCGATCGGCTACATTTAGCTGGTTATCAAACCGACCAAGTATTCTGTGAGCAGCAGAAGGCGGAAAGATCTGCATCTGTGAAGATTATTTCACTGGCCTGAATCATGCGTTAGAAGACCATAAGTATTATCTAACCCTTTCTGAAGACCTTTTGCACGTCTGAACGGTGTTTTGTTAAAATGGACCTGTCCGACGCATATCTCCAAAGTAAGATGTCGGAAGGATCGTGGGAGTTGCTAACAACAAACATCCACAAGAACAATTCCAGTATACACGTCTACCAGCAATCGTTCAGTAGATCGTGGGTACGATTATACAAGGAATGACATACGCCGCTGCATACCTGGAAGATGTCATTACCATGAGATCTAACCCGGAAGAACTACACTAACGATCAAAACACGCGGTTGACAGGACAAAGGAGTATGGATTTCGCATGAGAATGGACAAATGAGCTTTTGGTGACCTCTATGGCCCTAAGGATCACAAACCTGCCTTGTGATCTGAGGTCGCGGGTCCGAAACTGCGTAGGGGGCCGGACGACCCTCACAGTATCCTTAACCCGCGAGCGACTGCTAGCGGGTGCGCGGTAGCGAAGCGTCCATACTGATGATGCCTGTCAGTAAATACCTCGGCTTCATCATTGGCCAAAATGCGCGATAACCGGATCCGTCAAATATCATGGCCAAGGGCATGCCCCCACCTAAAGACGTAGCAACGTCCATTCCTGGACATCCTGATTCTAGTGAAAGTTATGCGTAGTTGCCATGTATGGATTCTCAAACTGAGTAAACACGTTCGCGTTCAAAGTGTGCTATAGCTGCGAAATCACTGCGGAGATGCAAACTGTTCTTCTGGTCGACACACACGAAACCATGATCAAGTGTGCAATTTGATATTGCAGGACTAATCAAAGGAACTTCTTATTTACTATCGATGCATACAACAAATGACCCAAGATATTCCAAAAGTCGAACATTACAACATCAGCCACGATCACCACCCACAGGGAAATAGTCGATTCGGTCTTCCGGAAACACTAGTACCCGACAATGGACCACACTACCTCTTTACACACTGCTGAATTGTGTGTATTACATGCCATGGGGCACATGCGCTCACCGCTTTATCATTAACATTCCGAAGAGCAAGCGGAGAGAAGTATGAATACTTTCAAGATACTGGACAAAACTGAAAGAGAAGGAACGATGTAAGAGGTCCCAACGACTTTTCTGCTAACAGAAGAATACGCCTAATGCGCAGAGGCCTGACGGAAAATCCGCAACAGAACCGCTTCTACTTAGAAAGACTCGAACAAAATTTGATCCGATAAGATGGCTTGATAGACACAACTCCGAAAGAAATTGGATAATAGAGCATAAGTACAACCGAAGACATCACGCTATACGGCAGCACTTCGACGTTGGACAGACGGTGTAGGTAGAATATTATCGGAATGGTCATAAAGACATGACCAAGTCTGATATGAAATGGTCGTAGGCAATGACAAGTGAGTTCACCACATCCTCACCATTATACACGTTAGCTAGAGGCGGAAAACACCTCAGCTGTTGTAGCACAATACATAAAGAAAGAAAAAAAACATGCAATACACGCCGGCTGAGTCACCCAGTAACGGATGGCCATCGTTCGGGAGAGCTGACAGTCGCTTATAGTGTCGCAAAAAAGTTGCATTATGCCTAGTAAACGAGGAGGTTGGAGAGGGAGGCTAAGCAGGATGGGGAGGGACAAGGAATCATCATTATACACATTAGCTAGAGGTGGAAAACATCTCAGCTACTGTGTCGCAATGCATAAAAGAAAAATACATGCAACAGATGCATGCCAGCTGAGCTACCAGTAACGGATGGGTACCGTTCGGGAAAGCTACCAGCCGCCTACTATGTAACAACAAAAAATTATTATGCAAAATTATATTATGCTAAGAAATGAGATCGTGGTTGTAGTGAGAAGCTAAGAGTGATGGGGAGGGACAAAAAACAGCACGAAGGCCACTGAGGTCGGCTCCTAGCAATGTCAGCAAGTGTATCCCGACAAACGTGTTCATCATCTTTTGGACCCAAACCAGGGAGCCGAGACGCTCCAACCGAGGCCAGCTTCGAAGTGAGGGCTTTCATTCCTCTTGACCAAGCCATCGCTTGGCCACTCTTCCTCTTCGTCTATCCGCAACCCCGGTGCGCAAACAACGCACCTCGCGGGAACCGGTGGGCTGGCATGCGTAACACGTGGATCAGTTATCGGAGCCTGGTGCCTGAAATAACGGTGCTGAGCGGTTCAGCTCTTCTTCCTGTGCCATAAACAAGGCGTCGAACACACTCGTTGCTCACTCGGCGTTCCCACCAGATGCGACTCAAACTGCGAAGGCACCGGTGGTCGAACGCAACTGGCCTCTTTATGTCGACTGATATAATGGGCCAGATGTTCGCCACATCAACAAAGTCAGGAGATAGATATCATGCGACAGAAAAGATGCAATAGTCACGCCTCTTTAAATACTTCTGAATGAGTTCAGACTAACAACTACGGAGGCAACTCGGCAAAACCGTCACAATGCTCTACCAACCTCTCCTGCACCTGACTGTGGGCCCAGAAAATGGACGGAACGCTGCCGAGTCCCTGTCAAGCCGCTGCAGGTCAAGCACAGAGTAGAATCATGTAACAGCAGACTTTAAATGGGGAAGTGTTGGGAGGAGTACCTCCTAAGGAATAGATCAGTGAACCTTAAATGGACCAAATCTTAATCCTTTTCAAGAAATCCAGCAGATGATTCCCACACAATACAATATTACTGGTAAATAGAACAGCGAACATTCAAGGTCACCAAAAACACATAAACAGCGGTAGTCTGCGTCAAGGAATTGTCGCGTGTTCTGCGGTAATTAAACTATTACCTACTTGATCAGCTAACCGGAGCGAATAGGTTTCGAACGGCCAATCAGAGTGGCCTGGCGAGATCTTGGTGACCGTAAAACACAAGAGCTAGGGATGGAATGCACCGATGAAACTAACTTAATGACTGCTTTGTAAACGAAGGTGGTCTTTAAGCCCAAATACTGTAAGGTGGGACACATTAACACGACGTTTACAATCCTGCTTCACCATACTTATTTGCCACGCTATCTGCTAGCCTAAAAGTTTCAAAAAGGACTGTGGAGCAATGGTTTTCGAAGTAGGTGATTGGCATATGTGCGAAAGACATGGCCAAGTCAGTGCTGGTGGAATGAGGTCAACAAATAGTCCAGGTCAGCCCTGGGCGGCCTGAAATCATGCAAAAGAGCGAGTTAAGTACTACCAACCCGACGTTGCAATTTTATATGAAAAATGTTCCAAGGTAATCATCGACTGCAGAGCGAAGATACGATATACGTGGCCTCACCTCCGCAGAAAACCTGCGAAATCCCCACTTTACTTGCAAATACCTGCGTCACGCTGGTACCCTTCGGTTTAGCACAAACGTTGCAGCTGGCAATTTATGCTTCACTGAGACAAACTCGACTCAATGGGTTAACACTGCCTTTCCTCCCCAATTCAATTCAAACGGGTGAGGTAATCAACTGTGTGTGACGCAAACATCCTTAAATAGCGGACGCACGGGAATCCGGATAGTGCGGAAAAAATCGCTAAAAGCACGGGTTAAGATAGACTTAACTCCAAGTCGATCTTCGAACTAGTTTAGAGATATGAGGCAGTGCAATGTTTTAAAAAGCGCTGAGCTCTACAAATCAGACGGCGTTTGTTACTGTGAATGGGGTTCCAATGTTGCCAGTGATTGACACCGTGGCGGATAACTTCCAGGGAGGAGCAGCACTGATCAGATGGAACAGCACATGGTATTTAGTCGAAGGTCTCGCTTCTCCCAATTCCTGAGCATCCTGAGACAACTAGGCTTATCGGTCAGACTGAAGGCTCCGTATTAAACTGCGGCCATTCGTTGTACTGTTTTTGCTACAGAGAAGGATTATTCGTTGAAATTCTAACGCATTCATTAATATGTGCAACACCTAATTGATGGTTGCTAATAGGATCGTACGTAGAGGCTGAAAAGCGTAAATACAATTCACTAGAAACCTGATGTATGCAGAGAAAGAACACGAAAGAAGTCCGCATGGTAGGTGCAAGAGTTGTTGAACAATAAAAGAGTGTATATCATACGTGGAAAAGTGGCTATGCAGCAACGCATAGGCAGAGTCGAGAAACATTCCAAACGAATCAGTGACAAAAGGTGGAACAACGCTGTATGAAGCTTACATGGCTATGACTTATTCGCATCAGTCACTGAGTAGCAGTTAGAGACCACCAAGCAACATATCAATGTCTAACGTGGGGAAAAAGAGCGTTCGGGTAACCATCCTCTATGCAGAGCACAAGAAATTTCGAAGTACTTATTTGCGTGTCCGGATCATCGATAACTAGAATTGTATCTGAGTATGGAAAAAGACATAGGAAAGTTAGGTTAGGGGATAATTGCCGATATTAAAACCGCAGTCGGTTAGAGCATAAGTAGCAATCACTGATACGTACTGTCCATCACTGCTCTGTGTGGTTATCTGTCAGTAGTGTCAAGCACGCTGCTCAAGAGAGGTGCAACAGTTTAGTTCAGTCTGTTTATTTTAATACTTGCACCGAGATGTGGTGGATTCAGTTGCCTTAACACACGTAAAAGCAATAGTGATAACAACACTATTAACTTAATAGAAATGAACGAAAATTAAAATCCCAAAGCGGAATAGACAAGTCATACCTTTGGCCTTTCAATAACTAACAAACTAGAAAGTTGACCCGTCTGAGCGCACTATCGGCAAACAGTGAAGGAGGCAGGCGGCTAGCAGATGTGCGCAAGACATGACTGATTAGCAAGAGACGAATCGAGTTCGACAAGTACCCTAACAGGGCATCGGGAGTACCGTTGGCAAGAACAAAGGGATGAATTAACTATCACTCACAAACAAATAGGGGTAAGGCTTCACAATTACTAGTGATCGAGTAATCTCGGTCTCCAGAAGCTCTCAGCGCAAAGCAGCGAGATCTCTGATCCATAAAGTGACACTAGTCTCATGGTAGGGCTGTAAACCTTTCTCTTAGCCACAGATAGAGACCTGCCGTCTTCACAAGCAACCGACGCTTTGAGCATCTATACAAGCCGTCGAGATACACGTTGTAATTTTTATGATCTGACTGCCATAGGAGCCACAGCTGTTCAGACAAGCAAATCGATGGACGCCGAACGGTTGTCCGCTAACGGTGAGGGGAGCTGCATTCTTACAACAGAGCTTTGCATTATGAAGGTCAAACGACAAGTCGAAAGGAGAAGCACTACCTATCAATTTACCTAGCAGCGCTGGCATGAGGGTTGGGTCAGACTAAAAGTGACGTTGTTTGCCCACACTGGTAAAGCGCTCGAAGAAAAACTATGCGCAATCCTTTGACAGCAGTCCGAGTCGTATTGGTTATTAGAACAAGGATGCACTCCGCCGGTAAGCCTAAGAATGCATACAGAATACGCAGAATGTGAACCGCGTCGTGAACACTTGATTTGTTTACTCCGTAAAAATGACACAGCAAATCAAAGGTATCAGTCGAATTGCTGGTTATTTAAATTGCCCCTATGTGGATGGGCTGCGAAACACAAACAACCTAAACCGCGACGTATACTGGAGTAGACTACAGGCAATTCGACTGTTGGAACGGTATTTGAAACAAATCGAGAATGTTCTCAACAGCCCACACGAAAGGTACCGACGGTGGGTCAGTGAATTGCGGCAAGAATTGACTACGGTTCAACGGTGTGGTGGCTGACATTTACCGGCAATCTGTCTTTGGCTGCACTGCCGGTTTGACTATCTTTAGCTGAGGAGTAAAGAAAAACACGAAATCGATCGCGATGTGTTAGAAGATGGCGGCACCTAACAGAAACAAGCCAATGCAAGTGCCCACCATTAATGACGCCATGACTGCTTCACCTACGTAAATGGAAATTTAAAAAGAGGTAACAGACTAGAGATAATAAACAAACATAGAGTGAGAAAAATGGCATAGGTAACTGGCTATCGTGCGGAGTACTACCTCATATAGGAAGCGGGAGATGAGCGCCGATGTAATGTCAAAGCAAAAGAAAACAAGTGCTTTTGGAAATAGGTTGCGTGAACCTTAGATGAATGAAATGAATTGATAGGAAAGGATCCTTATTAAAAAGTGAAGAAACGCCTGGAGATAGAAAGCAGCTGCTACAGATAGCCAATGGATAAATGAAGCATGAAAGTGAGCGAAGGTAGCCTAGTCTGATAAAAACATCTTACTGGTCCTTGAACTTGTGCCGTTGCGAGTTCCTAACTCTCTGTGGACCTTCGATGAATCAGTATCTGACATTTGCACACTGTCACGACAGAAGAGACCTGTACGAAGAACCTTGGAAGGGTAAGGAGAACGATGGTTGACCATAGGGGAACTCCCTTCAGACATCGGTGAACTACCAGGTGAAATGTCCATGTCATCTGCAGGAAGGGCCCTTAGAGGTAAGGCATCCGAAAGGGGGCGACGGGGATGCGCAGTTAAGCCAGCGCTCTGAAAGCCTTTGAAAATTTAGGCAAAAGCATATTTGGGACCTACAATTCCTTCTGGGACTGGAGCGGGGAGCCGCCCGCACACGGTGCGCGAACACTCTCGAGGGTTCATCATGGCTCGTCGGGCGAAGCTGCAGGTCGCAGGAGGCTGACTGGTCATTACCGCAATATTTACCGCGTTTAGGAGAACCACAGCGATCATCATATACGACATCCTTGACCTGGCGCGCCTCGCCCACAACTTGTAAACGAGAACGCTTGAGATTTTTACCTGCAAAGTAAGAAGAAAATGCGCATGTACCATCGATCTGCATGTGTTCTCGGTTACTCAGTCGCGTTAGCAATTCATCGGGTTCCATATCCGGCAATTTCCATTCAGGAGGCTTTTGCCACTGTGATACCTCTGTTATGCAGTTGTAAAAGTATATCTTTCCCTTAGAACTAAGCTGTTCCGACCAGTCCCCGCATACCCTAAGAGCGTTTTTCTGGAGAAAATAATAAAAAATAACGACAAACCTCGTAACGACCACGAGATGAACCCATTTTTCTTGCCACGTGGCCAACAGTTTCTGATGAATGGTTCGTGTAATCTGTGTACACTAAAACGGACAATAATCTGGGCATAATCAACGGTACCCTCCATTGGTGAGTCCCAAAAGGCGTGTATCAGATACAGTGAATTGGATTCAAAAGCACGGGAATTGAAAGGTCGAACAGTCGAAAGGATGGGGGGACGGCCCTCAAGGGTCACCAGAGTCCAAACGGTACAAGTGTAGTTAACTGTGTCAAGTGAAAAAATTCCGGGCTGAAAGAGGGAAAGCATAATCGCGACAGTCTGGATCAGTCACGTGTTGTGATACATATGGGAAAGAAGAGAAAGCAAAACTCGTGGACAAGTGTGTATCGTGGTAGGTCAAAAATGTACAGGTATCAGGAGACGTAACAAAGCGTACAGTGAAAAAACGGAACGATGACTGTCCATATAGACGGGTTCTGGTAATGTGGGCGCCCGTTAGAGAATTGAAGTGCACTTCTTTTGACGATTGAGAGTTGCCAGCAAATCACTAGATCAAGTGCAACTAAAAAAGCTATACTGGTGACCACTCCACTATTCGACTGTACTGTGCTGCATATTGTCCTGAGATCCCATAGCCAAGGACATAAGCAGGTCTAAAGGTAGAAAACCACATCATTCTGGGCCGTATAGATGATTCACTGATGAGGATGAGGAACATCGTTTCACACGTATGCTTGAGGCTGGAAGCGACTGTTGTGCTGTAATACACTCCAAACGGATGGCGAAAAAATACAGTCTTGCTTTGCGAGTTTTGGAGTCCAACGGTCTAGTGATCATGGCGATAGCCCCCGATCACTATGTGCCGAGTTCCACTCCCAGTTCCGGCTATCTCTACCTGATGAGTCCAAAGAAGGAAAAAATGCGTTGTGGAGCGCATCATCATCAGCAACAGCAGTACATCAGCCATTTGAACTAATGCTTTGCTGCCATAAAACCACGAGGACCAATGAAATAAAGAATAAGAAAAGGGAGAGAAGGGGGACTTAACTGAAAACCTTAATGCCTTATGTAAACATTCAGGGTCAAGGCGCCTACACTTTGTGTGTAAATAACACACCGTCACAAACAGCTGGCTATTGTGCGAATATAAGGCGGCATCGACGAGACAGCTTCCTTGCGGCTTTCACTGCCCCGCGTCATAATCAGCCATTAGCCCGTAGATAACTCAGCACCAAACACACTTTAAACAGGCAGACACGCGCCACTGCTGTCGGTTCCGAGCCGTGTCCTGTAAAGTCTCGAGCCAAGCACAAGGCGGATCACGTGGACTCCGGCCCGGAAGGCGAGACGGACCAACGGCATCTAGTTTGGTCATCAGTAAGTTCATTTCCCGCTACCAAGTCAACTTCTGTCTACCTCGAGCCTAGCGCCACCCTACACCTGGCAGACTAAACAAGGCCCTCCTAGGTAAGCGGTGACCAGGCATACGTAGCACGTGCCCGAGACAACGCAACTTATTCAGTGCTATCTCTTGTTCTAGGGAAATAGCATGTTTATCACTACCTAATACTCGTCTACGCACATCCTCGTTGCGGACACGCTGGTGCCATCCGACACTAGCAATGCTTCGCAGACAACGATGCTCAAAGACTTGAAGGTGCCTCAGTGTTCAGACCGAAGGGGGCAAGTCTCACTCCCATAGAGCAGGACGGCCTTTACTCTGGCCTTGTATACCCGGCCTTTCAGACGGAGAGAAACTCCCTTTTGTCGGCAAAGATGACGCAGGTTCAAGAAGGCAGCTCTGGCTTTTACAATGCTTAAACAAACTTCTGGTTCTATGTGCCCATCGTCGCTGATGCAGCTGCCGAGGTAAGTGAATTGATCAACCACCTCTAGCTCCGCGTTAGCAAGAATCAAGGGGTCATAAAGTGACTGGTGGTCTTGCAGCAACACTTTGCACGTTGAAGGTGCGAAGTGCATACCAAGTAATGGGACCACTCTAGACAGGCAAATCAGGGTTGATTGTGCTGCCGCAACATCGTCGAAAGGCAGGACGATTTTGTCCTTTAATCACGTTTCACCAGGCAAGACCTCGAAGCCTACATCGTGAGATTCCGCAAGGAAACACACCATGATAGAATCCACGACGAAATTGAACAGAAATGGGGAAATCGGACAACCCTGACGAACGCCACTTGTGGTCGGAAAACTATCCGGTAGGCCACCGTAGACCGTAACATGGCCTGTAGTGCACGAGTATAGAGCACAAAGGATGTTCACATATTTCGTGGGAACACCTTTCCGCGCAAGTATTTCGAACAGAGTCGATCGATCGACTGTATCGAACGCACTGTTGAAATCGAGGAACACAGCTATTGTCGGTCTGCAGTATGCGTGGCGCTGCTCTAGCACCTACCTCCAAGTGAATATATGGCCTATGCAGCCACGTCTTGGGCGGAAACATGTCTGCTATTCCCTACTCCGAGATTTCTGTTCCACAGTGAGACGACAAACAAGAATCGAGGCCAGTAATTTTGTCACAACTGCCGTTAGGCTAAAACCCCTGTGGTTAGTGTGTTGTGTGATCTCTGCCCACACAACCTTCTAAACTTTCCAAATCCTTTCACTGACTACCCGTTTCCCCCCCCCCTTTGTTGTTTGTAACGGTGTCGCTTTTGAAGAGCTCTGACACCCTACTTGCGTTTTCATATCCCCTTCAAGTACTATAATGTCTGAACTAGTAGCACTGCATAGTAGTACGTTCAGTTCGTGATAGAATGTGTCCTTGACAGCACTAGAACTACAGGCAGAAATCACAACCAGCATTTTTCACTACTTCGTGAACCAACCTTCGTCGGTGTCCTCCTTGGTGAATGGCCCGGAAGTTAACTGACTACTGGACGCGTCCCCAGGTTGCGGATCGGGGAACACCTTTATTGCGATGGTAACTGTGAACAAGCTTCGACTGTTCTCAGGCGAGATGAATAAGCACTCGCGGACAATCACTGGCAATGTCCTAAAGCGTGGGGGGTTCTGGACTAGTCACCTAGTTCCTCATTAAGTACTACGAGAGCTCGTAAGACGCTCTGTCAAAGCTAATGTGAACGGCTGTAAGGTCACTGACGACTCGCTTCTACGACCAGAAGTGAGTACTCAACGGTGGGCGGATAAACTACCTCGATGGCCACCGGCTTATGTGAAGCTTATGAGCCAACTGATTGTCATTGGTCTTCTTGCTCTTCGACATGTTCGGTGGTCTAGAAACTAGCTCCTGACCTCCGTGTTGCTTCATCTTTCGTAATTTGTTCTTACTCAAAAGCCTTGTTATCATCATCGTGGTAGCCGGTTCCCAACGGTATGCGATGGTCGTCAATCGCCCCGCTGCCTTGTGAGTCAAGTCTTTAAGACCAAAGGCTCCGGATGGGGTCCACTAAATCCACTCACTTCATCGGCCTGGGCAACCGGGAACCTGCATACCCACATAACATATGGACCAATGCTTCAACGAGTTCCTGCTCCCTTCCTCTCTCTCTGCCGAAGCTACCCTCGACCGAATGGCTGGCGGCCGAACGCGCTATATCGCACTTTACCGCACCACAGTTTGGTTGCTTTGTTACACGTTTGTTCAACTCTCCAATGCTTGGTAATCCCCCTCCCATCGCAACGAGGCTGGACCTTAACGTGGTGCGATGGTTTGTGTACCTCTGTGACCCATTGAGCTACGCTGGGTGGCAATTTCAAGTGCCTTCAGAGCCACTTATACCAGACAGGCCATTGGTTAGGGGTCAGACTAACCCAGTCTCACAATCGCCCCGCTGCCTTACGGGCAGGCTATTTAGCCAAAGTCTCGGGGTGGTTCCTAAGGCAAATCACTACTTCGGCTTGGGCGACCGGGTAGTATCACGCTCATTGATAAAACCGTGGACTATTCAACTGCGATATCCTTTCCAGCTGCTTTTGTTCCTAATAGTCACTCGCCTTCACACACCATCTGTTCACTTGTTACCAACCAGTATTACCCGTTACCAAATGACTGTTGCCTCCATGATTCTACTCCGGATGGTTTCTTCGGCGCACATAGAGCTCGCCCTGTCGCACTCCTTCGGCATCGGTCTACGTTACGTCTGGCATGCTTCAGTGTATGTACACTCATGCAGCTTGGGCAGCAAGTTGGTCTTGCGCGCACCCTGGAATTCCTCGCCATCGATCTTTGCTGTCTTTCTGAAACGTACTTACAAGATCCCAGTACTGTGATTAAGCTGAGATCACCCACCCACCACGGAGCCACATTTCACCTACATCTATCTGGGGACACAAGCAGCTGTGACAGGCTTGGCTGGAGTTGGTGTAACGCTAAGTAGCAAAGCCGAGGCGGCACTGCTGGACTGGTTTCCGATTAATAGCCGACTGTGCAGTTCGGCTTCGGGGATCATGCAGAATCAACAGATATCGTGAGGAGAGACGCAACTTGTTTGTGATCTCAGCTTACGCTCCAACTGACTGCAGTTCTGACTCCGTCAAGGACGATTTCTACTGTGAACTTCCTCAACTCTTGGGCAAAGCCTGCAAATCCGACATTGTTGTCCTTGCTGGGGATCTCAACGCACGGGTCGGTCGTCTGCTGACATGCAAAAGTCACCTCGGTGATCACCATGCACTCGATGAGCGCAGCTCAGAGTATGGAGAAAAACTTCTCAAACTTTGCGAAGATAATCCTCTTTTATCCCGAGCACCAACTTTCAGCATTCGAGACGTTCCGCTACTTTTCGACCTCCTGCGTCTCAATCATGGTCTCAGATTGATCATCTCGCAATCAGTTTCAGATGGGTGGGTAGTGCAATGGACTGTAAATCCATCTGGTCCACTTTTCTTGACCCAGACCATGCTCTTGGCTGTGCGAATATCTGCATGAGTCTCGGAGGGTCTCCGACAATGAAGCGCTACAAGATAGACACAAATGAGCTATCTAATGTTTCGGTTCAGCAGAGTTATTAAGCTTCCCTGGCCAATTCACTCGGCTGCGACCCACCGCAAGATATTGATGAACACGACGTGCATGCAGGAGTCCATGATCTCTTCCGGACAGCAAGTCTGGTCTTACTCAGCACCCTATGATGGCCTGGAGCTCCACCGCTCTGGATTTATTTGACCGCCGCAGGAATATCCCAGCGGTATCTAATCATGATGAAGTACGCCGTTCTGTCAGTCGGAAGCCCAAACAAAGCCTACTCGTTGACCGTAAAGCCTGGTGCTCCCAGCGTGCTTCGGAAATGGGGACCGCTGCCCTC